ACGCCCCCAAAGTTCTACAATGCATCCGAGGACTTTGATTGTACATTTGTTTCTTTTTTTAATAGTCATTCCAAATATTGTTCTAAATGCATTGTTACAGGAAGTTAACTCGCCTCTGTGAAGGCAGCAGCCCAGCTCGGAGGGAGCCGATGCCAGTTACTGGTGTTAGGTTATAATTGCTTGTCTGTAAATTATGTAACCCAACAAGTGTCTTTTTGTATCTTTCCGCCTTAAAAACAAAACACACTTGACCCTTTTTTCTCTTCGATTTGTCAAGCAAAGCAGGCTGTGTTCCCCAGTGATAGATGTGAATGAAGGCTTTACAGTCCCCCGCAGGGTCTAGGAGAAGCGGTGCCAGTACGCGGGGGAGGGAGGGGCTACCTGTACACTGACTTAAGACCAGTTCAAATAAAAGTGCACACCATAGAGGCTCGACCCGTGTTGGTTGTTGGTTCTTTGTTCTACGCTGCTGTGTGACGGTTACTGCATGTGCTCATCTCGCTTTGCCAGGCTCCAGGGGGTGGCTGTCTGACGGGGTGGGAGCTGGGGGATGGCTGGTGCACAAGCCACATGGGTCATGGTGATAGAGGCGGGGAGAGCTGAGCCTGCCAAAGTGCACTGGAGAGCTTGCTGGGAGGTACAGGGAGCTGCTGGAGGAGGTGGGCTTAGTTGGGGGTCCAGCTGCTGGGTGGTTTGGCCTGGTGAAAGCCAGTGGGGAAGGTGGCTACAGCCCTTTGTGGGGCAATATTCCCCTCTTCATGCAGCTGGTGCTGTGTGTTCCCCTCTGCTCCTGGAGGGAGGCTGGGGTTTGGGCTGGGTGGCACTCTACTGCTTTGCTGGGTGGAGCAGCTTTCAGGTGAGAGCAAGAGAAAGTCTTCAGTCAAGTGGAAAATGAGAGTCAGGGCCACAGGGTGAGGCTGGGAAAAGGGTGTGGGGAGAGGAAGCTCTTGCAGGGCAAGTGACACCTGCAGCTCCAGAACTGGGTCCAACCACCAAGGGTGGTGAAGCTTTGCAGAAGGTTCAGAAGCTCAGAGGGACAGCAGCAATTCCTGCGTGCCCTGGGAGCTGGAGCTGCTGCTGTGGGAAGAAGGGGACAGGACCAAAGAGAAGCAGGTCAGAGACCAGGAAGATCAGAGGCAGATGACACTGTGCACTGCCCGCTCAGGCAGACCAGACCCTGGAGCCTTGCTCGCAGGCACGCTGGCTTCCCAAGGCTCTTCCAACCTGTCTTGTCTTTGAAGAGCTAAAGGCTGTGATTGTGTCATGCTCCCAGCACATGAAAGGCTCCATTGGCCCTTTAATCCTCTGCCTGGCCTGATCCTGCTCCAGCATCGTGCTCAATTCAGGGTGGACCTGCTGGTTTCTGCCCTTCATCTCCCCAGCTTCCCCCCTAGGTGCAGCAGGAGCCTGGCAGGGCTGGAGGTGCAGACACTGGGCTGGGCGGATGAGTTACTGGAAGCACCAGTTTGCAACAAGGAAGATGAAACGGGTTGAAGCAAAGCCCAACCTGGGCTTCTAACCTGAGGTCTTGGGGAAATGGAGTGAGGAGGAAGCAATGGCAGCTCTTGAGGATGGAGCTGGTGGGAGCGGGGCAGGAAAAAGGCCAGGAGGCAAGAAGAGATGACGGCAGTAGGGAAATGGGGCACCTTCCTTCAGCCCTCCCTGAAATGGTCACTGCTCCACTTGCAAAACCGTGTTGGGACACCAAGAACGGAAGAGGTGATGGTAGTGGTGAGGAGAAACCAAAGAGCAGCTCAGAGGGGCAGAAGTGTGGAGAGAGGACGGGTGATCCGCTGGCGCAGAGCACTGGGCACAGGGGATTTGGGGTGATTTTCAAGCTCCAGAGTGCAGCGGAAGAGGCTCTCTGTGAGTTAACACTTTGTGGGGCATTGTTTCCCCTCTGTTCCCATTCCACTTGCTGTTCCAGGCAACCAGCCCCCCAATAAAAGGAGGCTGAGCCTTTCCTAGCCCTTCCTGATGCGTCTCCAGCGCAAGGCCGTGGTGTGCACAGCTACTCTGCAGGCTGCTCCAGCAAGGCTCGGTTTATTCCTCCGCTGGGCCATTACATGCTGGAGAAAAGAATGCGATGCCGGGCAGGGGAGCCTGCGAGCATTACTCACTGCTCCCAACTCCAGTGAGCAGGGGGGAGCCTTGGGGTGGTTTCCTTTCAGGAACACCAGGCACTGGGAGAGAGGGGACATTTGTGACCCCAGTTTCTCTGTGTTTTGGAGGGCTTGGTTTGTCCCTTGCTGTGTCACAGAGGTGGGGAAATGCTTTAGCTGCGTCCTGGCTCTCAAAGACGCCAACCATAGGCAAGGCTCAAGGAAGACGAGTAGGGAATAATCAGTCCCCTGGCTACTTCCTCCTCCTCCTCCTCCTCTCCAGCACACAAATAGCCAGGGGTTGTGGGGAGGTTTAAACCAGCCACCCATGGGCCAGGCTGTCTGGGGCAGCAGTGGGGATGGACTGGGATTTCTCAGGCTGCAGACGGCGGGACTGGGCTCCAAAGCCACCGCAGCCCTTTCTCACTGCCCTTTAGCTGCTAGGAGGGAGCTGGCTCAGCTCAAAGGAGATGAGTAAACATGTTTTATGCCCTTTCTTCCCCCAGAGCTCCCAACTTTCGCTCCTGCTGGAGACAGTCCCTGGCACTTCACCTGTAATTAGCTGGTGACCTGGAAAGTCACCTTGCTGAGCTGCTTATGGAATCAAGCCACCACCAGGAATTAGTAATGTCCTTGGCAAAGGAGATGCTTGTGGCTCTCGGGATTTAGCCCTAAAGGGCCTCATTGTCTCTTGGTTATGTCAGGGAGGGGTAAGCAGAAATGGTGCCCAGCTGAGGGGGGGTCCTGTTCTCCCATTACCTGCGTGCTGCTGCAGGAGAGGGGCCGGCATGGAAAAGCCCCAGGAAATCCCAGAGCATTCAAACAAAACTGGCCTCCTTGCAGAAGTCCCCTCGGAGGGCACAAATGGGCTTTCCTAGGTACCAGTTCAGGGATGAGACTGTGGGTATCAGGTGTGCTTGGTGCAGAAGGAGTCTTGGTCTTTGAAGTTAGTCCTTGCAGAAGGATTGCTGTCCTGGAGCCTCCTCTGACTTGTGTTATACCCATCTCTAATCTACTTTAGCCTTAGGGTATTAAACCATATCAAGTATTGAAAATCACTTAGAGCAGTGGAGTTAGCAGTTCACCCAAGCATACCAAGTGCTCTGGCCACTGTGGTCCAGCCGGGCTTTAGTCATGCTGACAAGATGAGATGTCCAGGATGTGTCAGTCTTAAGAATCAGAGGAGAGAAATTACCAAAGACTTTCCAGAGTGAAAAACACAAAACCCCTAGCTCATTTTGGCCTTGAACAGGAGAGATTTTGTCTTAGAGCAAAACATCTTGCTGGTAGCATTAGTTTGTTTGTTTGCCCTCCTGGAATGGGACAGCATGGAATGTACCTGCCTTTTTGGGACTAACTGAACCCATCTTCCTGGGTACCCACACTGAGAAGTGTTCCTGAAGCATGGCATAGCAGGAAGGGTTTCTCCTCTCACCATTCATCCACCTCCCAGCGACCATCAAGAGAAGTGCCACAGTTTGGTGTTGATTTAATTCCTCCTTTACCACCCATCTGATGCCCTGCCTGCCTTGTGTTCAACCTCCATGTCTTATCAACACCACCACACTGGTGGGTCATGAGCCCAAGTGCTGCTCCTCTTACAAACTGCTCCGAGCTTGGGCTCTCCTCAGGAGCTTCTTACACCTATCTCTGTTCCCAGGTCCTATTCAGGGTTGCCAAGTGCTGCTGGTCCATTTATGCCCCATGGCTGGCCCTAATGCAGCCAGATCTGGCTCTCTGGGCAGGGCTTTTACTCTGCTTATGGGCCTTGCTGATGATTTTAGGTACCATTTGCATTGGAAATGCAGGTCTCCTCCACCCTGGTCCCTCTGATGACTGCAAATATGGTAGCTTGGTGTCTTCCTAGACGTCAGACAAGTTGGTCTTGACTTGTCATTATGGAGTGGAACACATGACAAACAAAGCAGGTACAAATTGTCTTTGAGGCTCCCCTTCATCCAAGGGCTAAGAGGGGTTTCCTCTTCAACACCAGAGCCTTCCCACAGGCAAAACAGGCAATCAAAACCTGCTGTTTCTAAGCAGAACCCCCCAATCTATCCTTCCTCTAATTCGCAGCCTTAAATGGCAACCATCACTCGTGCAGAAGAGCAGCACCCCATTCATCTCCCACGGCGGGTCATCTTTGAAGCACATTCTCTACGAAGAGGATTCCTGAAGCACGCACGTAACTGGAAATTCCAGCGCTCCGGTCCTGTCTGTACTTGAGACGTGGGATGGGGAGCAAACACCCTTGGTTATTGCCGGGTGTGCTCACAGCAGCCCTGGGTGACTTCTGCATGGCAACTTTGTGCATCAGGGGTGCCAAAGGTACCACATGTAACCGGGTTAGAACCCTGACTGATGGTCCTTGAAGACATGACCCGTGAATACGAAGCCAGGGTTGTATTTAGGCTTTTCTTGTGAGGAAAAGGCGGTACCCGCAGCCCCTTTGTTAGCATCAATCCATGCAGTGCCCATGGGTGTCCGGTCTGCCATGCCCCGGCCCCTTCCCACCCACCCACAGCATGATCCAGGAGAGGATTCTTCTCCCAGATACTCTTAATCTCCATGGAAAACCGGGGTGCGAACGCAGCGGGGCTCCCTCTGCCTCTGCAGTGCCCGCGGCTCCTCACAGCGGGCATTCACACTGCGGGAGCCGACTGAGGGCCCCGCGGGGTGAGCCGGGGCTGCCGTCCCCGATGAGCACCGGTGGCCTCGGGGCGGAGGGGAGGGAGCCAGCCGGCTGCAGCCCGGGTTTCGCTTCCATACAGCGCCCTCAGAGCCGCCGGAGCGGAGGGGACAGCACACCCGAACCCCGACACGGCCCCGCCGCTCTCAAAATGGCGCCCAACAGCGGCTGGCACCTCCCTCCTTCCCCTTCCACACTCAAGATGGCGGCGCGGGGCAGGCGCGCCCCGGATGCCGGGTCATGGCAGCGCCGGAAGAGCCGTGAGGCGGCCGGGCCGGCGGGGAGCCAGGCCGGGACGCGGCCGCTTTGAGCGGTGCCGGGGGCAGGCAGGGGCAGAGGCAGCGGCAGCGGCGGGACCGTGCGGCCGCCGCCATGTTCCGCTCCGAAGAGGTGAGCCGCGGTGGTGCAGCGCGCCTTGCCCTCCGCTTCCCCCTTCGCCTCCCAGAGGGCCGTGAACCGGGGCTCGTCCTCCCCGGGGCTGGGGCTGAGGGGTGGCGGCGAGGATGGAGCCGATGAGCGGCTGAGATGGCGGCGGTGGGGACCGGAGGTGCCGCCGGCTCCTGTCTCCCCGCTGGGCCCGGGCCCGGCCCCGGCGGCGTGGGGAGGCCCCGGGAAGCCGGTTCCTAACGGGGCTGGGGACGGGTTCCCGTTATCCCCCTCCGTTGGGTGCCTCTGAGGGCGTTTTAGAGGGGCTGTGAGGTGGGCCCACATCCCCCCCTTCCCGTTAAGGGAAGCGTTAATGCTGCTTCGTGCTTTAATTCCATTTAGTGCTTTAGTTAAGTCCCAAATGCCCCCAGAACTGCTGTCATCACGGTGGGGCGGTCCGGTCCCTGCACAAGGCAGTGAGCACCCCATCACCTCATCAAGGGGTGATGGGTTTGGGGTGCTGCTGTTGGGATGCCTCTTGGCCACCCCAGTGTTGAGGGAAAGGGGCATGGGGTGTATGGGGGAGCAGAGGGGCTCTCGTGTCCCCTTCGGAGCCCAGATGTGTGGCTTTGTATGGCTAAGGTGTCAGCAGAGGAGCTATGGGTGATCTGATGCTGGATTGCAGTTTTGTATGTGTATATATATGTATATATATGGTTTTATGGCTCTTAAGGTTATTGAAATGGATGGTACTTGGAGGAATGATGTAGGAAGAGACTGCTGTGTTATATTTAGAAAGGAATTGGGGACAGTCGCTTTTCCAGTTGCAGAGGAAGTGGCAAAAGTGGAATGAATGTAAATGTGTTTTCTCCTCATTTTAAAGCAGCAAAAGAGCGAGTGAAGGTACCATGGCTTTATGTGAAGCTTTGCGCCACTTCCATAATGTCTTCTAAGGGAAAGCTCTTGGCTTCTCCATGCAGATGGAAGGACTTGAAGATTCTGGCCTTTTTGTTTTGTCTCACTTAATATATCCATATGTGACTGGGGGTGTGTTTTCTCACAAGCTTTGCTGAGGTTTCTGAGCTAATAGCTTTTATTTTTCTCTTTTCCTTCCTTTTTTTCTTGCTCCCACAGGAGATTGCAAGTGGGGAGAGCGAGGAGGAGAGTAACGGTGTCAACCTGATGGAGTTCTCGGATGAGATCCTTTTGCACATCCTCAGCTACGTCCCTTGCACTGACCTTGTCCTGAACGTCAGGAGAACCTGCAGGAAACTTGCAACGCTTTGCCTTGACAAGAGCCTAACCCATACGGTTTTACTTCAGAAGGACTATAAGGTGGGGAGAGTGGCTTGCTGCTTCTCTTAGCTATGAAGATAAATCAGTAATGGCATATGTATTATACCAGGAACAGGGCTTGGGAATGAAGGGCGATACATTTTAGAAGGAGTGTATCACCAAGTGCAGGCGAGGAGAAGCCTCTCTTAGTCATTTCCGAAAGAGGAAGCTGGATGAAGGAAAATGGAAACGTTCTTCTTTCAATTTGAGTTGCCATAGATGGCTAGTTCTGCTGAAATAGCTTTGCTGTTAGAAAAGGGAGATGGTTTTCCAGTCCTCTATCAGCTGCTGAACAGATTTGGCCTCACAGTAATGCAGAAATGCACAGACTAAGAAGCTGAAGGAGGTGTAATCTCAAGAGCCCAAAGCATGGCAGGCTGAGCCAGCTACCAGCAGTACAATGATTCTTAGACTCTGCTAGAATCCCAAAACTTGGATGAGCCGCATAATCTTAAGTGCTAACTACTCTTATCCCTATCTTCACATGGGAAGCTGAGTCAGTACACACCATTGCCATGTATATAGAGAAGAGATTCAGAGCAGCCCTGGGGAGAAGGACTTAGGGGTGTTGGTCAATGAGAAAATGAACATGAGCCGGCTTCAGTATGTGCTTGCAGCCCAGAAAGCAACCGTATCCTGGGCTGCATCAACAGGAGCGTGACCAGCAGGTCCAAGGAGGTGATCCTGCCCCTCTGCTCTGCTCTCGTGAGACCTCACCTGGAGCATTGTGTGCAGTTCTGGTGTCCTCAACATGAAAAGGACATGGAACTGTTGGAACAAGTCCAGAGGAGGCCACAAGGATGATCAGGGGACTGGAGCACCTCCTGTATGGAGACAGGCTGAGAGAGTTTGGGCTGTTCAGCCTGGAGAAGAGAAGGCTGCGTGGAGACCTCAGAGCAGCCTTCCAGTATCTGAAGGGGAGCTATAGGGATGCTGGGGAGGGACTCTTCATTAGGGACTGTAGCGATAGGACAAGGGGTAACGGGTTAAAACTGAAACAGTGAATGTTTAGATTGGATATAAGGAGGAAATTCTTTCCTGTTAGGGTGGTGAGGCACTGGAATGGGTTGCCCAGGGAAGCTGTGAATGCTCCATCCCTGGCGGTGTTCAGGGCCAGGCTGGACAGAGCCTTGGGTGCCATGGTTTAGTGTGAGGTGTCCCTGCCCATGGCAGGGGGGTTGGAACTGGATGATCTTAAGGTCCTTTCTAACCCTGACCATTCTGTGATTCTCTATCTCATTGAATATGGTTTTGTTTGAGTACAGGTAAACAAAGACAAAGTGAAGCAACTGATGAGGGATATCGGAAAGGAGATTTACCAGCTGAACATGGCTGGGTGCTATTGGCTGCCAAGCTCCACTATTGATCACGTAACGCGATGCAAGAACCTGGTGAAACTGAACTTGTCTGGGTGCCACATCACCTCCCTCCGCCTCTCCAAGATGCTCTCCACGCTCCAGCACCTGCACTCCCTGGCCATAGACGTCAACCCGGGTTTCGACGCCAGCCAGCTAAGCAGTGAGTGTAAGGCCACCCTGAGCCGTGTCTCGGAACTGAAGCAAACCCTTTACACGCCGTCGTACGGTGTCGTCCCGTGCTGCACCAGCCTGGAGAAACTGCTGCTTTACTTTGAGATCCTGGATCGCTCACGGGAAGGCTTTATGCTCTCTGGCCAGCTAATGGTAGGTGAGAGCAATGTGCCCCATTACCAGAACCTGCGGGTCTTCTATGCCAGGCTGGCTCCTGGCTACGTTAACCAGGAGGTGGTGAGGCTGTACTTGGCGGTGCTGAGTGATCGGACACCTGAGAACCTTCACGCCTTCCTGATTTCTGCTCCCGGTAGCTTTGCAGAGACGGGAGCCACTAAAAACCTCCTGGACTCTATGGCTCGAAATGTGCGTCTGGATGCTTTACAATTGCCCAAAGCCTGGATTAATGGCTCTGGGCTCCTGCAACACTTGAAGTTCAACAACCCTTTCTACTTCAGCTTTAGCAGATGCACCTTATCTGGTGGCCACCTCATCCAGAGAGTTATTAATGGTGGGAAGGATCTTAAAAGCTTGACCAGTTTGAATCTCAGTGGCTGCGTTCACTGTCTGGCTCCAGAGTCCTTGTTCCGAAAAGCAGAAGATGACATTGACAGTAGCATTCTGGAAAGCCTGGTGGTGTCTTGCTGCAACCTGAGACACCTCAACCTGTCAGCAGCTCACCATCACAGCTCAGAAAGCATAGGCAATCACTTGTGCCAGCTTCTGTCCAGGCTAAAGCACCTGCTGTCATTAGCACTGCCGGTTTGCTCCATCACAGATGTTGCTGCAAATGTGGAAAAGCCTCCCACAGTGTCTAATTTGGTGCCCCAAACGTTTGGAAGGAAAGTTCGGATTGGGATACAGACATACCCGAGGAACTTAGCGGACCAGGCAAGTCAGAAGATTGAGTCCTCCGTATTCTGGGCTCTGATGGGAAGCCTCCGGTATTTGGAAACCTTGGAAATCATTGGGTCCAGTTTTTCCTCTGCCATGCCTCGCAATGAGCCGGCAATTAGGAACTCCTTGCCTCCTTGTGTCCGGGCACAAAGTGTCGGGGATTCAGAGGTGGCTGCCATTAGCCAGTTGACTTACTTGCAGAGCCTCACCTTAGCACAACTGCCAAATATCCTCACTGGCTCTGGGCTTATTCACATTGGATTGCAGTGCCAGCATTTGCGGACTCTTTCCTTGGCCAACTTGGGCATGATGGGCAAAGTGGTCTATATGTCTGCTCTCATGGACATGCTGAAACACTGCAAGTGTTTGAGAGATCTCAGGTGAGGGGCTGCCGTTGAACATGTCCATTTCGGTTGTGGATCTCCAGATACGTAGTGCCTGGTTTGTTAGAACTGCTGAGTGTTCCTGTTCTGGTCAGAAGGAGCTGCAATGGCTGGAAAAATGGGTGTTTTCCTTCCTGACTTGTGGAGGACATGAAAGCATCATATGCTGTCCTTGAGGGTTGAGGATACGCCCTTTAACCAGAGTTTTAAGAGCAAAAAAAGTCTCTATGCTGCAGCTGCCTTCCTTTTAGATAAGGAAGAGTGGATGCTGCATATTTGGGAGCTAGCAGCCTGTCAGGGCTAGGTTAAATACCACATGCCTTTGCTGACTTGTGTAAACATGCATTGGGTCTCCTACAGTGTCTAGATAATGTAGAGTTCTCCTTAGGTTTCCCAACAAGATATTTTTTTACCTTGGTTTGTGTTAAAATCTTTCCTCTTTGGTTTTTTATTACTCAATAATGTATCAAAAACATTCCAGACCTAGAGTTTATCCTCTTGGTGTTCCTCTCCTGGTAGGATTTGAAGGATCTCACTAAGGATCTGCTCCTAAAGGGTGCAGAAGGGAGCTTCACAGCCAAAACATGCGTGAACTGCGATGGCTTCCTTGCACCAGTGTGTATGAACACAAATGTTACTGCATTAGGAAGATGTTTCTTCCTTCTTTTTTCGCCTAAATAAGCTCCCGTTGGTGAAACTGCTAGACCTGTCAGTCCTGTTGTCATCCTCTGTTCACAAATGGGTCTAAAATAACAGTAGTAACAGCAAAGTCACTCCTGTGATTACAAAGCCGGGGTGACTAAAATCATTGCTCATCAGCTGAAGCTGGTGTTTGTGTATGTGTCCCTGATCCGTTACAATAGTGAAGGGAGCCAGGGTGGCTAAAACACCTCAGGAGGTGTTTCATTTTCCATCACTTTCCATTTATAACAAGCAGGGGGTGTGTTGGTCTCTCATTCAAGAGATGGAAATTCAGTTGCTTAAAGGTTTGGGTCAGGTGAACGTCTCTTTAACCTTCAGGACACTAAATGGCCATGGAAGAACTAAGATCTGGGGAAGGAGGTTTGGGTGTGCAGTGTTGCTTCATCCAGTCTAAACCTTCAGTTCCCAGAGACTTTGAAATGGAGGCCAAGAGCGACAAAGATGGGAGGCAGCACAGAGCCTTGAATAAAAGACCAGCAAGGGTGTTTCCTTGTAACATCCAGGCGTTTCCATGTAAGCTGTCATTGTTCTTTCCCGAGTAAAGTCTGAGGTTTTATATAGGTTTAAGAGGATTTTAATGTTTAGCACTTCCTCCTGTTAATGTCGTCCTTCCTTTTCATTTGACTCATTCTCTGCTGCTTCTACTCTTTTTGCCCTCCCCGTTTTCCAGGCTGAGAAACTAATTTAAGGGGCTATTCCAAAGCAACATTGTCATCTAGCGAGTGAAAGGCAGTATTGCAAGCATGGCTGGCACATCCCAGAGATAACCCAGAAACCTGCAGGGAGGTTACAAGAGATTCTGTGTTCTTTGTCCTAACTTTATGATGGAACAAATAACGCTGTTGAAAACTTGAAGTGGCTGAAGTGATGTTATTACCCAAAGGGTTCACAATCCGTTAGGATCTCATCAGGTAATGCTAGCTCACAGGTTGAGACTCTAAACCAGAATATATCAGCTAACAGGATTAAGTTGCTGAGATACCCCTGCATACTACAACAGCCTATGCAGAGATTATCCAGTTCAGGCTGGGACCAGCATCTTGTTACCACCTAATGGATTAACCTTCTCAGAGCTCTTGGCCTTGCTGACCCAGTGACTGGGATTCCCTAGTGCTCCGAGGGCCTGTAGTAAATCTGCACTAAGCAAAAGTCCTCTTCTGGTGTCATCAGCTCTGCAGACTGGATTCTGTGAGGGCATCATCCAGTTACGCTGCTAGTTAAAGCATAGACCCCTTGCTGGTCAGCTGTGGTTTCACCATGTCCTTTTGTTGTCCTCTGGGCTGTGACATAAGGTTGTGATGGCCATGAATCAGGAGCTTGTCTCTCTTCTCTGGGCCAAGTGTTTAACATAAAGGTTGACTTGATGATGGTTATTCTTACTGTAGAAGAGCACTAGCTTTGATCCTTTGCCATCCTCTGACCATGGAGCGCTGGTTGTGGTCACTCATTGGCTCAGAGGCCCAAATTCTGCATGACATTGTGTGCATCGGGAATTTTCCGTGCCTGTTTCTCCCTAGGCAGTAAACTGAAGAGATGACCAGTTTGATCAGTGTTGGTGCACTGGAGCAGTAAGTCCCTAAATCCACATCAGCTGCTTGGTGGATGTCAGGTAGCAAAAGCCAGCCTCATCCCACGACCAGAATGGATCTGCTGCTCAGACCTAGCATCTTACCCGACATGCTTCGTGGAAAACTTGCAGAACCAGGGTTACTCTTGGAATTCTGCAGTTTAGGACCTTTCTACCTGTTTGTGTCCTTGTCCTTTAGCACGCATCATTCAAGACTAACCAGCAAGCAAGAAGTCTGAGCTTGCAGTGTCGGGTTTGTTATGCCATAGCACTGGCAGGAGCACTACTAGGTTATTGTGTGTGTAAGTGAAACAGGCTCTGGGGGACGCGGATTGCCCTACATTTGCCAGCCCCCCCGTGAATGTGCTGTCTCCCCTCTAGTCTACAAGCAGCCCTAAGCCTGAATTACCCATTGACTTGTTGTTGTTTATTCCTGCAGGCTGGAACAGCCTTACTTCTGTGCGGGTGCCCAGTTCTTCCAGGCACTGAGTCACTGCTCCTCTCTCCAGCGGCTTTGCATCGTCTCCCGGAGTGGGACTCTGCAGTCTGACGCAGTGATGTCATTCATGGCCAACTGCCTCGAGGTCATCATGTGCCACATGTTTATGGGAGAATCTCTTACCGTTTGCAGAAGTCTCCAGCAATCTCTTGTCCGGAGGTAAGTGCGGAAAGAGGTTGGGGTGGGATTTCTGGAGCTGGTGAAGATTTATCTCCCATTGCCTTTGCTTGCCAAGGTTTATATGGCTTGGAGCGCTTGTTCCAAGAAGCTAATAGGTACTGTGTAACCACTTGGCACATGAACTTGCCTCTTACTTTAATAAGAGTGAATCAGTGAAGGATTTGAAGGTATTATATGAATTTTTGATTCCATTCCCACCCCTCTTCTTTGCAGCTGAGGTTCTGGATGTGAACCTTTATAAATCAAATGACACTTTTTTGGGTAAACAAAACATCTGCCGACGTTTTAAGTACTGAAGAGCTCTGTCCTTGAAGCTTTCCTCCTTTCCCACAAGTGACTAAGATAATTCTCTGGCCTCTAACCACTTGTAAATGTCGCTTACTGACAGTCCCCTGGCAGCGCAATTCAAAGCCTTTAAAGGGTTGTTGTGAAGGGTTTTTCTTGGGGAGGGGGGGAAGAACTGGTACAAACTCCCTTTGCACCTTTGGCAGTTCTTAAATGCATTTTTGCATGGCCCCTTGCAGTGTTCTGAGGCTCACGTGGTGGGGGAACGTTTGTGTGTGAGCCGTGAGCTGCATTTGAAAAGAGAGCTTTTAATTACGCTTGGCATTGTGAAAGCTCCTCATAGTGGCAGTCATCTTACAAAATATTGCCCGTGCAACGCACTTCCCATTAGGATGAGTTCCTTTTTTCCTCCTCCTGGAAGGCTTTTTTCTCCGCCTTCCCTCTGTTTTCTTTGTCACCTACTGCTGCTGGGCCCTGTTAAGCTCTCATACAAATTTCAAATCACACAGCATTATGACTGCATCCTAAAGGCTGCTCCTCCTTCTCCCCCCCCCCCCCCCCAGCCTTCCTCCTGCTTCCAAGTGACTTATTACATTTGGCTTGTTTCCACGGATCAAATCCAGAAGAGCCTATGACTATATTAGCTACCTAGCAAACTGCACACGCGATCGTTTGTTACTGCCTCTAAAAGCCTCCGTGTCCTTCTGGGATGGGGATTGTTGGAAACATCTCAGTAAATTCCTTGAGATAGGGCAAGGGCTGAGTTTGGTTTTCACTGTCAAAACGTTCCTTGGTTGATTTCAGTTGTGCTTTGGGGGATCCTTGGAAGGAGCCACAGATCCACAGGCCCCAGCCTTTCGCTTGTGCTCCCCTCTGAGGTGCCACAAATCTTAATGTCCGCTTCCTGAGCAGAAATACACTGTTCTGCGGGGCTTTTTCTCCCTCTTTTTCTCTCTGCTGGACAGATTGTCACTGCATTCTGTACCTCTTCATAATTTAAGCCCTGGGAGCATTCCAAAGAGCAGCTGATGCCTTGTGGAGATGTTAAGAACTATTTTTATATTTAGCAACAGTTCTGTCATATTATTTTTCTTCTTTTGTGTTTTATTAATAGAGACATTTGCATGAAAACAGGAGGTTTTGAGTTTTTTTTTCATCTTTTTCCCTCTCAAGAGAGCATCTGCTCCCAGTGCAGATTCCACACCTGAAGTCATAATCCTCTGTGACATTGTAATGGGTGGCTCTGGAAACGATTTTGATGTCACGTAAGATTGTGACTTCAGGAGGAGGATAAGCGGTGGGAGCAGATGCTCTCCTAAGCAACAAAGATCCCCTTCTCATGCAACTGTCTCTAGCAATAAAATGGAAGAAACGAAATACAGAAAATGATGTGTAAGCAAAGCCTGGAGTCTTCCACGAGCCATCAGTGAGTCTTTAGCCACGTGGCTTTCCCAGTGATCCCATTCTCATCCTTCAGATGGGGTCGGGAATTGACTCTCTCCAGACTGCATTTGTCTGCTACTCCAAAGGCAAAGAGATGTGCAGTAAAATCCGTGCGTGAGCTAGTTCATAGCTTAAACCTGTGGATAAGGCTCCAATTCACACAGCTTGGCTTCCTCTAAGAATATGCCACTAGTGTCTCCTTAATCCAGGTTTCAAATTGGAAGAGTCTATTGGGCAGTAAGTTATATATCCTTGTCCCAGAATAAAATAAGGTGATTTATCCTTTTTGCTGTTGTTTGCCTGTTTGGAATGTGTGCAGATGCTGCGTGTGCGGGGAAGGCATGGAGAGTAGGTGGGAAGGAGGAGGCGAGAGGAGGGAAAGTGAGGAAGGCTATGAGCCTGTCTTTCTTTGCTCCTGTTCTTGAGAGAAGGGAATTAATCCCTATTCCTTAGGTCTCATTAAGGGTTAGAGTTCCTTATTTAGATGGAGGTGGACATCTCTTGACTGAGATGGTCCTGTTTAGGCTCAGAGCAGCCAAGTGATAGCTGGTTTTGAACGAGGAGATGGGGTCAAAGTGACTCCCATTCTCCAAATGCATCTAAAAAGAGAAGAAATGCGAATTTGGAAGGGTCTAAGGCTGGGAATGCACCAGTAGTTTGCTGAGGGGGGCTTGAAAATGCCATCTAGTGCAGAGCAATCCTTGTTCAGACGTGGATGCACAGGAGGGTTTGGGTCACAGATCTGGGACTGATCTGGGGAGAACAGAGTGGTTCCAGCTGTGGAGTTGTACTGGAAGCTGGTGTGGTTACAGGGTGTGGTGATGGGAGCTTGGGTATTAAATCTACATCACACCAGTGGCTTAAAGCCTGATCTTAAGCTCTTCCCTTTGACTGTAAAATAAGGTTAGTATTAGGTATTACTGTTCTGCTGGCTGGAGAAGAGAGTTCTCGTGTCTGTTAGTCTTGTGACAGCTCTAAACCAGGCCCTGTGGTGTCAAGCTTTCTTGTGGGCAGTTTTCTGCTCGAGGTTTGCTGATTTTTGGGACAAATTAATTTACATATTTAAGTCATTAAAAGCCTCTGATTCAGTTCTGCCTCTTTTGCAATGAAGCCAGTAAGCAGAACAGCACTCATCTGGAGCCCTCATCAACAAGCAAGAGGCTTGCAAGGGCAAGGTCTCCTCTGAGCTTTAGAGAAGACTGTTTCCCTCTGGGCAGATAAATCATTGCAGTGTTTTTCTTCATTCTTGTTTCTTCTGTGTGAATGGGAGGGGTAATCTCCTTTATGGGTTCAGGGAGAAACCCTGTGCACATAAGAAGGGCCTAGTGGTTAGAGTGGGAGACGGGGCTTGAGTGATCTATATCCATCTCCCTGATCTTCCTCAGCTTTGCATGTGACAGTGGTCTGCTCTTGGTTTCTCTGTAAAATGACATCTTTTTTCCCTATCACATGGTGCTCAGCTGCTGCCACACTCCAGATAGCAGCAGATCTCACAAACACAGTGTTTTCCCTTTTATGCTTGGACCTTAACTGTGCCAAAGTGCTTAACTCCAAGCATGTGTTGTCTTTGTTTAAATAACTCTGCTGTTAAAACCGCTGCAGTGCTTTTAACCAGAAACACTGGAACGCCACTACTTGAGGACCCACTGTTGTCGTTTCAAGACCTGTTGCTGTACAGAGAGGTTTCTTTGCAGAAAAGGGAGATTTGGCTTCTCCCTTTAGGGCTGAGGTGCTGTGCTGGGATTCCGAATGCTTGCAAAGAGCCCTGTGGCCGAAGCCCGGCCCGAGGGGATGGAACTTGCTTGCAGCAGCTTTCCCTGAGGGCTTCCACGCTGTTATTTAATGAAGGAGTCAATAGATGGAGCTGTGATCTATGGAAGGTGTCCCAGTGCTTACTCATGTGTTGCATGCTAACGATTCGTGTTTACACGCCTGGATTTCTCTGCCCTAGAAATCTTGCGGGCAAGGAATTTGGATGACTGGAGGCTTGCATGGTCAGCAGGCACTTCACAAATGTGCAGGAGGAGTTGCTTTGCCAGCAGTAAACAGGCTGGAAAAGGGGATGGGAAATGCTTTGGCAAATATCCCCTTGGCCTCAATGATAGATTTTATTTTCCAGTGTATTTCTTGAGAATTTGATCAGTTTTAGCCTAAGTGTTTAGGTAGCTCCTATCCTTGTAGTGATTTCAAGGACTCTACACCACCAACACAATAGAAGCCTGTGAAAAGACCTTGAGGAAAAACACTTTGGAAAAGATCAAGAAAGCAACCATCAAAAAGCCCCCAACCAACCAAACCCTAAAAAATCCCTGAGAGCATCATTAGGGATTCTTCATTCACAGGGGGAAAGTGTCAAGGCATAGAGGTGAGTTGTCATTTATAGAAATGCAATCCAAGGTAAGCCACGGTAGAGAGTGTGCTCAGGAAGCCAGAGATGCTGGTGTGCTTTGGGGAGCGGTGGGTAGCTGGGCTCAGCTGCTCACATCTCCCAAAGGCACTGTTGGCATCTCCTGGGGTCTGAGAGCTGTTGGGAGAAGGGCTGGGGCTGGCTGGGTCCTGGGGTCCTGGTGCAGCATCCCCTGAGTGCTGTGGGGTTGGAGTGGGGAGTTGGCAGCCCAGGCTCAGGCTCTCTGCCCTGCCCCTCTAAGCCACGTTGGCTGCCTGCCTCGAGCAAATGGCTTTGTAAAGGCAGTGTGCAACTGGTGAGGCTGCACCTTGAATCCTGTGTTCAGTTCTGGGCCCCTCACTACAAGGGAGACACTGAGGTCTGGACACCGGAGCAGGGCCAGAGAAGAGCAAGGGAGCTGGTGAAGGGCCTGGAGCACAAGTGTGATGAGGTACGGCTGAAATGGTTTAGCCTGGAGAAAAGGAGGCTCAGGGGAGAGCTTATGGCTCTCTACAACTGTCTGAAAGGAGGTTGTAGCAAGGCAAGTGTTGGTTTCTTCTCCCAAGTAACAAGCCATAGGACAAGAGGAGATGGCCTCAAGACGTGCCAGGGGAGGGTTAGGTTGGAGATCAGGAACTATTTCTTCACCTAAAGGGTTGTCAAGCATTGGAACAGGCTGCCCAGGGCAGCGGGTGGAGGCACCATCCCTGCAGGTATGTAACAGACACGTAGATGTGGTGCTTGGGGATATGCTTTAGTGGTGGACTCGGCAGTGCTGGGTTAATGATTGGACTCCATGATCTTAAAGGCTTTTCCAACCTAAACAATCCTGTGATTTGATGACTGAGGGTTAACCAGTGCTGGA